TATTTATAAAATATAATCATATGTGATGTCAGGGACTTCTGGGGATATTATCATACTGTTACTTGCAAAAAACATAAATTTGATGGTATTTTACATTAGAATGAGATATAATGCCTTGTTAAACTATTTTCTTGTATTTGGTAAGGTAACTTGCAGTTAACCAATTAACAGGTTTTTACAGTTTTACAGCGCATATCATTCAGTTTCACATTTTCACAGTTTAAAGAGAGATTTTAAACTGAATGGTGTCTAACAGGAAAAGCAAATACTCTTTATCTGTGAAACTTGGAATGTATGAACTGAACATAATAAAAGAGCAATCATAAATTCAACAGCTGTGTACTTCACAGTGTGAGATATGTTTATTTAAAAACTGTTGTTTGGAGCTAAGAAATCATATGTCACAACAATCGGCGCACATCCGTTTTCTGGCAAATCTCAACCTTTAAATGTCAAAATACTTAAATGATAAACTCTACGGACTGGTTACTTTTTAAATTCTGCAAAGCATAAACCACCAGAAGCATAATAGCCATTTAAAAGATTTGAAATCATTGCGTAACAAAGACATTGAGATAAAGATCTTCCTCACACACACCACATATGCACGTGTACTCTTACATCCTGAGTTGTAAGAGTAAAAAAAAAATTCTGACTATGATTTCATTGGTTAATATTATCAGAAGAGAGACAGTGATATAACCACATTACAGACAACCGTAACATTTTGGCCATAGCCTAAGCAAGAGAAACCTACAAGCTAAGCAGCTTAAAATGATTCCAGATACACAAGGGACCCTTCTTGGTTTTTAGGCCAGCTCTCTGTCAACCCCAGTTACTGTTGGCGTTTACTATATTCAATTACTTTGAAATAACTCAACTTATTTGCCGACTTACATAATTCCAAATAGCTGTATGTTTTGTGCATTACGTTCAAATGGTATCATATCTATCTATCTATCTATCTATCTATCTGTGGACTCATGTAAGAGTTAATGTGGTGATTAATGTTCATAAACCAACATTCAAGCTCTGTTTCATTCTGCCTCCCTCTTACACCTCAAACAAGACCCAGATGAGTGTCTGCAGGGATGCTCTGCATGAACGAGACGCTCTTCCCCACACAGAGATTGTGATCTCTCACACTGGCACAGCAGTGTCTGTCTCCGCTGCAGTCTCTCAGTGTCGGACATCCTCGCGGACAAGGGACAACCTGATTTCCAGACGTCCAGACCTGTGCACATGATTATTCCACCCAGTGTGATCATGCTAATCCGATGAAGAGAGCAGAAATACAGGCACTATTAGACTGTGAATATGTTGGATAACAGCGCAGGTGGTGTGGGAGGGACGTGCCAGAGATGCTCCATAATAGGAGTCGTCGCAGGGCGCAGACACTCAGAATCTGCCCTGTGCACGCACCTCCTGCTAACTGACTAATCAGAGAGATGGACTGACACTCATTGGGCTATATGAATACTGAAATGTTAGGGTTTTGAGTCAAAAGTCCTATTACACAAATGCCTGATTCTAGCAGTGGTTTTGTATGTTGCTTTTAAACATATAGTTCAAAATTGTCTTAAAATAAAATATTGCAAAAATTTGTTTCATACTCTCGTTTTCAAGTACAAATATCTAAGCATTCCTAAATCAAGATACATTTTCAAAATCAAAATGACATAAGAGATAAAGTATTTTTCTGAAATAAATATTTTCATATTTTCCTCAAAATTAAGTGACTTCATAAAACAAGAAAAAAAATATATGCCAATTGGGTAAAAAAAAAAACTTGTTTTCCCTCTGAATTAATTTATACAAAAAAAAGACAATATCATAAGACATTTTGCCCATGAAAATGAAATTTTCTACTCGAAAAAAGACAAAACAACAAAAATACTAATATGTGACCCTGGACCACAAAACCAGTCTTAAGTGTCAATTTTTCAAAATTGAGATTTATACATCATCTGAAAGCTGAATAAATAAGCTCTCCATTGATGTATGGTTTGTTATGATAGGACAATATTTGGCGAGATACAACTATTTGAAAATCTGGAATCTGAGGGTGCAAAAAAATCGAAATATTGAGAAAATCGCCTTTAAAGTTGTCCAAATTAAGTTCTTAGCAATGCATATTACTAATCAAAAATGAAGTTTTGATATATTTACGGTAGGAAATTTACAAAATATCTTCATGGTACATGATCTTTACTTAATATCCTAATGATTTTTGGCATAAAAGAAAAATCGATCATTTTAACCCATACAATGTATTTTTGGCTATTGCTACAAATATACCCCAGCGACTGGTTTTGTGCTCCAGGGTCACGTATAATTTTTTTGCAGTGAACATTTTTTTTTGTAAATTCTGTTTTCTTGTCTAAAATTCCAATATAATATGATCTATAGCAGATGGATAAAAAGTGAACACAATAAACCACAGTGACATACATTAATGCAATAGTCACCCACATGAATATGTGCAGGTAATGAAGGTAAAAAACAACAACAACAACATTAAAACGGTTACAATGTGTTCTTTTTACAACAAAGGCAATTTCAGTAAATTTTAGGTTGGAGCAAGTTGTCATGTGTTTCAAGTGCTGTAATTGTATACAATTTATCTCTTACAGTGTCTGTTGAACAAAACAATAGTAATATTTTGGCTATTTTTGTGTTACATATTTCATTTTTGGTTTTGCATTAAACTTGAACTTTTTTTTACAGTTTAAATGTGCTGAAAAAAAAGCCTATAATATGTTATAAAGGCAGACTCTCAGTGTGACAACTTTGCTCATATAATTTGACCCGCTACTGGGGCATGTTGTCACAAATGTGGATCAGTATAGGTAAAAAATCTTTTTTACCTGTGCAACAATGATGGAAATGCTCAAAAGCAAGACTTTAAGGCATGTATAAATATAATAAGCCTGCTCTGATAAATATAAGCAGGAGTGAAAAGTGACAACTAGCCCTAAACACTTCTCCATATATTGTAAATGACCATGTTCAGCCATCTCTGTTCATGTAATAATCATATAAATTGTAAAATGAGTCAAGTACTAACATGATGTACAGACACTGATACGGATAATACAGTGTATGATGTTCACATGCAAACAAACACGATCCGCACTTCACCTGGATAGATGCAAATGACACATAATATACATTTATTCACAAAACTCAATGAGTGCATGCCATATCATGCATACTCACATACATGCACAGATGCATGCTCACATTCCAACACAGAAGCACACCGAGCTTTACATAGGGAATATATACAGATGTGCATTATTGGCTTATGTTACCAGGCAAACTAGAAGTGGGTCATTTTTAAGGATCATAGCTCATGCACTGGTAAATCTCTAGTACATAAAAGTGAATAAAATCACTGAACCACAGCTGGTGGTGGTGTCAGAGTGGACATGAGCAGGGCTTGGCTGGATGCAGAAGAGTAGATGCCATTCTTGCATCTCTCCACGCTGCCTATTCTCATATTATTTTCTGTTTCTCGTGCAGAAGTACAGCACTAAGACTATCTGCTGTTTGTGTGAATCAACAGGCTTCAGGCTTAGAAACATGAATCAATGTCACTACCAACAAAAGGCTGAGCCACTCCCTGGCGCGTCCAGAGAGGTGATAGTAAAGTAATTAGAGAATGTGTTGAAGGTGTGAGGAAAAAGTGACAGGTGAGGTAGCATCCTATTTACAGGGGGATTCCTTGCTCTTGTGCACAATAACCCAGACATACAATGTAAGGGCGTTGAACGTGTTAAAGCACATATGAACATCACACAAGGGCTTTTGAGGAATATGGCAGTTTTATGCATTCGCAGGCTCTACAGTGTATGCAATAGCCTATGTGAAGGGTGTGATGCACATCCAGCCCGCTAATTCGGACATAATGGGACACATCTGACAGCTTCTAATGCTGTTTAACTCAGTAATGCAACCTCTAAGTGCATGTGCGGATAGATGCACCTATAGTGAGTAAAATAAACTCATTGACATCCAATGTAACAAAAGCATATAATAAGACTACCTGTTTTGAAAAACGGCTCCGTATCTGGATCGTTCGGTCCTTCCTCAGCCGCCTCGGCAGAATTCATCATTGCAGGATATGTTTCCACGGATGATGATTATGATGATGGTCGGATTTTACACCTACAGATCTTTGTAATCTATGTGTGGAGAACACTAGAGCGCGTGGCCGTCTCCATTGGTGAACGCTCGTAGTAGTGAATGATGATGATGATGATGATGATGCCCGAGGTTCTGCGCTCAGCGATACTGTATCCAGCGCTCCTCCGGGCGCTATTGTTTAAAGCCTACCCGCCTCTGCAAGTCTACTGCTGGGGGAACCCCGATAGAGAGAGCCGTAAAAACTGCGAATGCAATGTTAATGCAGGTCTCATAAAATCCCTTATTCATCCGTTCTTCCTCCACCCGTAGTATATTCCTCCATCCGCTCCATGTATCGCACAACCCAGTGGATATAATGGCAGCGCTCCCCTACACTGACCGAGCGAATCGCAAATTGCCTCCGATGGGCTCCCGCTATTACAGATGAAACAATGCAGCTAATGCAACGACTATTATAGAGGTATATACAATCGTTCTAGCGCGAAAGAGGTTCTTTATTGTGGTGCAGCCTGGAGAACTGGACCAATCTGTCCTCCTGATGCGCTCAAGCGCCTCCTGATAATGGGGTGTGTGTATTTTTCAAGAGGCCGGAGAACCCCAACCATCACCATAAGGTCCTGTTAAAGAGATGCCTACTAATTAGAATCAATGAATCGCGGTCTGTTAGGATGCGTTTATCATTGGAACCCACTTTAAAACTTATCTACAGATTAATATAAAAATTGTTATTTCTTAACTGAATATTAACTAATATCGTTATTTAAATAAAATGTTGGTCATGTTATTCTTTAGAAAATAACATTAGCCATTCTGTGAAATTATAATTTTTGAAAATAAATGTAAACAATATCACACAAACGGTGAGATTTTGCTTTTATAACTATTATATTTATTATATTAAGCAATTATATTGCTTAAGAATTTTTATTTTTATAAACAATTCATATCGAGTCCGGGGAGTGAATTTCGAGGGGGGACGGCGTTTCATTTCTGGTTAGGTTTATTTGGAAATTAAAGTGATTTCTATGTGTATGTGTGTGTGTGTGCGTGTGTGTGTGTGTGTGTGTGTGTGTGTGTGTGTGTGTGTGTGTATATACACGCGCACACACACACACACACACACGCACACACAATGCATCTGGCCAGAATTGCAGGTGCCTGTCTTTTAATATCCAAGAAGGTTTAGAGAAAATATGAAATAAGTTTAATGTTATTATAGATTATAGAGGGTTTTATAATTAAATACATCCGAAAGGTCATCTAAAATTACCATTATTATCCCCTCCCCCTTTCCAAGCTAGAGTCCCCCCAGTGAATTTTGGCCATTTCCACCACTGTAGCAATGTACACATAATATTATTGTACTGTGTCATTGTGTCAGAGAACTTGTAGGGCCTATTATCAGATTCTTAGTATAGTCTATAAAAACTATAAAAGTCTAGTTGCAACAATATTATTTTGTTTGGTGAGAATATGTGCCAGTAGCACTACTGTCAATCACCACACCCTCTTACAAATGAGAATGTTTATTTAGAAATTAAAAGTATGCTTGAACGTGTGCACAATTGTGTTGTTTCTGGAAGTTAAATAGCCCTGTCGACTAACCAGGAAATGTGGTCTTCCTGTGATTCAGATTTTGCACAGGGGTTTCACCATCTGCGAAAACAAATGCCGACATACTGAATGATTGTATTACTGCAGTATGACTGATTTGTAAGATAATATTAAAATGATTAATCAGTCTTCTACGTAACTTAAATTCAATGACTGACAAACGTTTTCTTAGAAAGATTGAGGAAATTATGTGAGGAAAATGTGCAGATGATGCCGCCCTCTTGAGGAAATGTGGTGTCATAGAGGCTTCTTAGTGATTCTAAAAAAATAAATAAATAAATAAAAAGCACGACATACAAAGTTATTCAGATTGTTTTTTTATTCGGTGTGCAAGCAATTTAATTGAAAGCATGCAGTGTTCTAGTAGACATACTTTATTTGTCTCATTTTGTTATTAAATTAACATGTATGGGATAGATTGATTCTTGGCGTAGTCTGGGTCTTTTATAATGGATCTTACACCAAGATCATCCCTCCAGAAGGATGCCATCAAAACCCAGCTGGAGAACAGCATTGAGTAAGCAGCGCTGTGAGGAGCAAAATGAACGGCTTCATGTTGCTTTATGTAGATTTATTTAACCTGCTGAGAAAGCAGAAAACACATCTATAAGTCATCAAACATAAGGAAGAATTGATATGCTTCAGAGTATGCAGGGAAAAGTTTGTGAGAATGAAATCTTCTGTTCCAAGTTCTTCAGCGAGCAGTGGTCCAGAGAAACATTCTGCCAGTGAGAAAAGTGCTTGCCATGCTTAAATTTAGTGGATCTTAAACCATGCTGCTGTGCATGCAAAGGTGATCATATTTTTGACTCTGAATTGCAGCTGCCTGAAAGGGGATGAATAAAACTATAGAACACATGCTGCAGAATTCATGGTTTACATCTAATTAAATAAAAATATAGAAATGCCATGGCTCATGCAGGCTTTATACTGAACAGTGACCCACCTGTGTGGACTCCGATGTATGTTTGCCATTTGAGATGTTCTGTGACCTGTAACATCTATCTGACAGAGGTGGACAGAGAGGTTTCACAGACCCAGGATGACATGGCACTCTCTTACCTGGATACAACGTATAATATAAACATAAGTAATATATATCTATATCTATATATATATATATATATATATATATATATACTGTGTATATTTAGTGAATACTGTGTATAAAAGTGAATTTTACAGATAGTTGTTAAAAGCTAGATAAAAGATAAATCAAACTAAATAAATAAAACGTACCTGATGAATCCTGACTCAGTATTTTTGTCTGCTTAAATTGATTTAATAGTTTTTAGTCACCTTCCCTTTTGAAAGCCTCTATGATTTCTTTCATCACAAGAAGGCATGTGGCATGGTGAGGGTGTCTGATTTAATCAGTAGTGTTAAAGTGTGTTTTGGATGAGAATTTAATGGGATAACAGGAGGAAGAGAATCGACTGAAACCTCATCTACCCATTACCCAGGAGGCAATAAACAGCCCAGTCAAAAATAGCGTTCAGGGTTTTTAGCTTTTGTTCTCTCTCAAGACTGGGTATAATGCAGGGTATTCAGTACTCTGCTCTGACATGTGGTCAATGTTGTCTGATGAACAAATATGGTGGACCACTTATGGTGACCGATTTTAATTCACTAGAATTAAAAGACAACTACATGAGCCTGCTTATGCTAACATAATGACTACAAAGATCCCTTACGAAAAAGAAGTTTATTCAAGTGTGCTATTAGTATACTTCTGTTAAACTAAAAATAGGAAAGAATAATTTTAGTCTACTTTTTATGTACTTCTCAGAAATGGGCTTTGTGTACTTCTCAGAAATATACTTAAAATGACATTTAAGTATACTTGACTTATACTTAGAAAAAGTCTATATATAATTGTGCTCCTAGAATCCGTGTTTTCATTGTTATACTGTAGGGGGCGCTAGTATACATCTTCTGTACAGAATTTCCAAAAAACACAAGTGAAGAAGAAACCGAAACAACAGATGCTTCCACATGTATTCTAACACGATCATCAGACATAAAACACCATCAAAACTGTGTAACATTATGGAATAAAATGTCGACCAATGAAGAGGTAATAATAACTGTCAAGCTTTGGGGTGTTGATCGA